TCTGGCTGATCAGTGAGGTCCTGGCTCGAAATCTGGGTTGCCTCAGGGAATGTCAGAGAGCCAGTTTCAGCCTCATCCTGCAGGCCAGGCTAAGGGACCCCACTGGTGCATGAATTCATATATATATATAAAACACATAGACATAGACAACAGTATGGTGATAGGCAGAGGGAAAGTGATGTGGGGAAAGGTAGAAGTAAGCAATGCATGCATAATGTAGTATGTAGATGATATTTTATTGAGGTACACACTTAAAATCTGTATGCTAAGCAACTGTTTCTATAATACTCTACACGTTTGCTTTTTATTTAATTTTACCTCATGTAATATCTTTCAGCAGACAATCTCATGAAGCTTCTATAAACATTAACTGAACTTCACAACACTGTGGAGAACTGAGTATTAATGCATCCATTTATATGGCAGAAAACCAGGTGAATATTATAATCAAGCAATGTGGAGCTTACTTGATTACGGCCATGTAAGGACATCAAATAGGCAATAATGAAAATTTAATGTTAATCTGAAAATTGAGTATTTAGCTATTTCTAGACTAGCAAATAATTATTACTCTATATTCAAAACAAGCAATGCCATATTACTAAAACAAACATAAAAAGAAAACCTTTATTTTGAAATGATACTTCAATTTAAATGTGACTGATGTATAATCTATCTATAAATCTAAATATAAAAAGAACATTGGAAAGATTTTAATCAGATAGATCTTTAGCACCAAGCTTAATGTAATTTGTTTCTAGATTAAACTTGAAGGGGAAAAAAAATAACCAGCTACTAGAAAGTTAACTAATTCATGTGTCAGGAAAAGATAACATACATCAGACTCCATTAAATGAAAAAATTAAATTATATACAAAAGTACATTATATACAAATGTATTATATTTTCTGAATTCTAGAGTTATTGTCATGAGTAAATAATACAATGATGGTGAAATGCATGATTACTGTGCATGGAATATCAAAGAACAACTTTTTGGTATGGCATTAAACATCTTTACAATATTTAAAATCCCAAGGGTTTCACATTTTTGTCATTCATTGCAGAAATTCATTACACACACTTCACATGTTCAAAGAAATTTTCCAAATACACAAGGAGATATAACTGTGGTTCCTTATAGAAATCAAAAACTTTTTCAGTCACTAAATAAAAGTTTCAACATAACACTTATTTCTGGTAATCTTATCCTATGCCTGAAAAAAAAAAAAAAAAAAAAAAAAAAGAGTTCTAAGCCTCAGTTTAATGGAAGCTAAAATGTAGAAATGAAGGCAAGAGTGTTATTTTCATAGGAATGGGCAAATGTCCAGTGAAAGATTTAGTGGTGACAAACAGCATGACTAATGAAATATGAACCAATGACTTTTAGCTCATGCTTACATCGATAATCTTTCCCAAAAGCTCCTCAAGTAGTTTTTTAAACTCTTCAATAAAGGCAATCTAAAGTTTAGCTATAGGACAATATTCTGAAAATGCTTTGAAGTTACTGATTTTCCAAATAACTAGAAACTTACAATAAGTCTTAGGGAATTTTTTATTGGGAAATTTATCCAGGCTAGATCAATAAAGAGGGGGAGGGATGGATTGGGCTTCCATTCCAACCTGGATCACTTTTTTTGTTGTTGTTGTTGAACTGACATACTCAAAATATTAGAGTTATAAGCTAGCTAACTAAAGAAAGCCATTTCAAAGCTAAGAGTTCAATCTTATGGGTTATTTTAGCTGGTTTTAGGGTGTGGGAGAGTACTTTTCCAAAGGAATATCAAGTTTAACTTTAATAACTTACCCAAGGAAAAGAATCCTAATCATCAAAACCTGATAAACATGCAAAGTCTCTGCTAATAATAAAGGTAAAATAGAAAAGATGCTAGCCATTATTGATAGAATGGGAAATAGCTTTACCAGGAATATAACTCTTTCTAATAAAGATTGCATACATGTTTTCCTGCATATATTAGAATGGTTTTGTTGGGTTTTTGTTTGTGTTTTAATAGGACTATAGACTTTTGCTTACATAGGTGATATGTAGAATTCATTTTAACAACAGTTATTGAAAGTCTTCTAAATATAGTAGGAGATATGCAGAGGTGCAAGACATGATTCCTGTTCTCAAGAAGTTTATAATGTAAAAGAAAAACAGGGAGGTATACTTCCAAGGAGAAGAAAATCCGTATTGTTAGAAAGGTACAAATAATGTGTTATGAACTTTAAAAAAGAAATGGATTGAATTTCTAGGGAGAATTAGGAAAGCCTGCTTGAGCAAAGAAACATTTAATATGGGCTTTGATGGCTGGGTAGTATTTTGGCAATTGGAGTCTGGTGACCTGGGGGTAGGAGGGCAGTACTGGGAAAGGATTCCAGGTAACAAAAACAAAGAACATAGGACACATAAAGTCTAAAACATAGAGAGAAGTATAAAGGAGGACATAGAAAGCCAGGTTATCCTATATAATAAAGAGGTAATATGAAAATTGACTCTCACACCATAATGCCATCACAAGATGGTGGTACACACAATTGGGGCAGGGCCGGCGGCCACTCCACATGGCTTCCACTGGGGTTCCTGCAGCCCTGCAGGGGTAAGGGGGTCCCAGTGTCCACTTCAAGCGGCTTCTGCCAGGGTTTCTGCAGGCCACACATGCACACTGCAGGGGCGGAGCCCAGTGGCCACTGTGTGAGGCCCGAGGCTGGGCATTGGGGTGGCACTCCAGGACTCGGGGCTGTCTCTCGGTGCGCCAGCCATGAGGGGTGGGACTCTGGGACTCAGGGTGGTCCCATGGCACAGGGGTGGGGGTTAACAGGGGGTGGCAAGTGGGGAGGGGTTCTGGGTCTCACACAATTTCACGCAACAAGTCACTAGTTGAATATAATGTTGGAAATATAGGTCATGGTAAAGGCTGTTCTTTGTTTCAGCTCGCAACATGTGAAATAAAAGTGTTGGATTGGATTTTATGAATTTGTTCCATACACTCTTTTAAAAAATATATATATTTTTTATTGATTTTTTACAGAGAGGAAGGGAGAGAGATAGAGAGCTAGAAACATCGATGAGAGCGATACATCAACCAGCTGCCGCCTGTACATCCCCCACTGGGGATATGCCAGCAACCAAGGTACATGCCCCTGACCAGAATTGAACCTGGGACCTTTCAGTATGAGGCCGACGCTCTATCCACTGAGCCAAACCAGTTTCAGCTCCATACATTCTTTATTACTAAGACTACTCATTCAATGCTTGTGATAGTGAGCTATGCCATAAAATTGTACATTAAATATTCCAAAAGTTATATTGTATACTTGAAATGATCATAACAATATTAAAACCTTACTTATATTCATCAAAATGAGAGCCACATTGAGTAGGTAGCATCTGTGATTTTTTTCCTCCTCCTTGAATATAATAAACATAGCAGAACTTTAGAACCTATAAGTGGACCTTAGAGGTATGCATCTCTTTTATTTATTTATTTTTAATCTTTACCCAAGGATATTTTTTAAATTGATTTTTAGAGAGAGTGGAAGAGAGAGGGAAAGGAATATTGATGTGAGAGAAACACGTCAGTTGGTTGCCTCCTGCATGAGCCCCATTCAGGGCCTGGGCCGGGAAAAGCCTACAACCCAGGTACGTGCCCCTGAGCAGAATCAAACCTAGGAGGGACCCTTTGTCTGCAGGCTGACCACTGGTCCAAACTGGCTAGGGCTCTGCATCTGTTTTAACCAACCCTTCTATGTAATAAACGCCAGTATTAACTGATATATGTTTCACTTCCTCTCCGTGACACCAGCCTTCTGATAGAAGTACTAATTAGTATTGAGATAACCCAATGCAAGATCAGCTTTTAGAGCCAAATATGATATGGAAGATTACTGTACCCAATTTACATCCAGGAAATGAAAATCCATTGGTTAAGCAACTCAATCAGTTACCCAGTAAGTTACCTAGCAAATTTTCAGAGCTGAAGATGAAACAGATAACATTCGAGCAAGGGAGAAGATTTACAAAATATACCCCCAAAAAAGTCTTTTTTCTTTCTACTTCTATTGTCAAATATTAAAAAATTAAGAATAATTGGGACAAATATAAAATGTCTTTCTCTCTTACTTTTCTTGTCTGCACTGGCCTCTTTTTTTAGCTTCAAAGATGCCAAGATGCCTGACATGGTATCTATTTTATGTATACATAATACATTTCATATACATATGGAAAAAAATTAGAAAACAATTCCTACAGGTTTAACACCTCAATTTTGGAGACCGGGAAGAGAGATCAGAGAAAATGAGTAAGAGATGGGGCAGTGGGGGGAGGTCGGAATTTAAAATAGCATTCAACTTTCCAAGAACCAGAGTGAAGCTAGAATAGATAATGAATCTCTGTCTTTCAACCTAGAATTCTGTATTCACCTTAACTGTCAATGAGTAATAAGGGTAAAATAAAAACATTTTTAGACTTACAAGACCTCAAAAAAAATTATCTCGCCTGCACCTTTTTTAGGAGGCTACAGGAGGAAGTGTTCTGACAACAATGAAAGAGTAAACCAATAAAGAGAAAGACAGAAGACCTGGGAAACAGGTGAGAGGTGATGAAAGTGAAATTCATCCCTTTTCTGGCCTCTTGAGGCAAGTCTGGGATGTGGCCGTGCCTCATCTCTGTTCTGAGACAGAGTGCTGTTTCTTGATTTTCCCCTTTGTCTTCCCATTCTCAACCATAACTCAGATAACCTGGCTATGTTCTCATGGCCACCATGGGGAAACAGGTAACTCTTTCATTTGCGCTGTCCTGGCCTGTAGGACCTTATGCTGCACCCCAGCACAGTGGGTGGGATTCTTTTGAAGTGACTTCAGCCCAGTGACCAAGTCCCAGGCTAGCCCCATGGGACTCAGATGGCCATGAAATACTTTGTAGCAACTGTGCATTACCCCCCTCCCACCCTGTAGCCACGGGCCATGGGCAGGAGCAGCAAGGGCTCCCAAAGGGACAGGTGTGCTGTGCGTCCTGGGGGACATCACTCTCCTCCTCCAGGCTCCTGAGATAGGTGTGCTGATACCCTCCAATCACATGCTTTACCTCACTGGTGTCAGGTTTAAAAAGACACATCTAATCCCAAAGTTTCTGCCTCAGGTGAGGCACTAAGTAATGGATCCCTTTAAGATATCTAATAGAAGTCGCTAATAAGCATGTTATCTGGACAAAGAAAAACTTGTGACAAGAATTTTGCACTTCTACAGGAGGCCTGCACGCCGCTGCCGCCTTGTCTCCAGTGATTCCTGAGAAGTTCCAGCATATTTTGTGAGCCCTCAACACCAATATCGATGGGCGGCGGAAAATAGCGTTTGCCATCACTGCAATGAAGGGAGTAGGGTGAAGGTATGCTCACGTGGTGCCGAGGAAAGCAGACATCGACCTCACCAAGAGGGCAGGAGAGTTCACAGAGGATGAGGTGGAGCATGTCATCACCATTTTGCAGAACCCACTCCAGCACAAGCTTCCAGACTGGTTCTTGAACAGACAGACGGATGTGAAAGACGGGAAATGCAGCCAGGTCCTGGGCAATGGTCTGGACAACAAGCTTCGTGAGGCCCTGGAGCGGCTGAAGAAAATTCGGGCCCACAGAGGGCTGCGCCACTTCTGGGGTCTTCGCGTTCGAGGCCGGCACACCAAGACCACAGGCCTCCGGGGACACACTGTGGGTGTGTCCAAGAAGAAATAAGTCTGTAGGCCATGTCTGTTAATAAATAGTTTATACACCTATGGGGGGGAAAAGAATTTTGCACATACTGCATAACTCTTCCTTTCTGCAGTATGTGTAATATGTCCTTTGGAGAGGAGACACCATCTCAGTATGACTTCCTTGAGGATAATGGACACTGTCACAGTTTGTTAATCTCACCTGTTTCCCAGGAGAGAAAAAAATTATTAATTACATGGCATGGGTTAGGGGTCATCAGGCCCATAAAGCAGGTTGTATATGAAGGCTCTGTGCCCAGAGCATGTTTGCCAATTCTTGCAATGCCTGCAGAGCAATCTATATAATAGAGAAACAGAAATTGACCGTACCACCACTACATTCTCAACCAATCAGAGTAAGTATGCAAATTAACCCAACAAATATGGACGATAATTTGCATACATACCTGGGCCCTGGGGAACCTCTTCGGCACCCAGATCACTCCCAGCCAGCCATCAGAGGAGGGGCGGGGGGGTCTACCCAAGCCTAAAGCTTTGGCAGAGGCTTTAGGCTTGGGAAGGGGCCTAGCCTGTGACCAAATGCAGACCATCTGGAAGTCAGCGCTGGGTTGCTCAGTCTGGCGACCCAGCACTTATTGCCCAGGTAACTGAGACCCAGAAAGTGAATCAGGGTCTGATCTGCAGCCACAGTGAAAGTTGTTGATCAGTGTACTTACCTCTCTCTTTCTCTCCCTCTTTCTTTCTGATCTTCATCAACAGCCAGGCTTTTCTTTCTCTCCTGGCCTCTGAAGGGGCTGTTGTTAAGCCCTGCCTCTTTGATCAGGCCCAGAGATAGGCCTGGAGATGCTGACTGGCATAGGAACTGACCAATCAGAACCAAAGGTGGGTGGTGTGGGAAACCAATGGCTGTCTAGGAGGTGGAGCTTTTGATGCTGACTAGCATAGAAACTGACAAATCAGAACCAAATCTTGGTGCTACGGGGAGCCAATTGGCTGCCTAGGAGGTGGTGCTTCTGAAGCTGACTGGCATAGAAACCAACAATGAGAACCAAATCTGGGTGCTGTGGGAGAGCAAAGCTTTTGACTCTGGCATAGGAACCGACCAATCAGAAACAAATTGGCCAGTAGAGGAGGGCAGTTGGGGGCAACATCAGGCCTGTAGGAAAGGGCAGTTAGGGGTGATTAGGCTGGCAGACAGAGGCAGTTAGGGACAATCTGGCAGGCAGGCAGGTGAGCAGTTAGGAGCCAGTGGTCCCAGATTATGAGAGGGATGTCTGACTGCCAGTTTAAATGGAAATCGAACATCTGGCAAAGGGTTCCCAATTGGAGAGGGTGCAGGTTGAGTTGAGGGAACCCTCTCTGTGCATGAATTTCGGGCACTGGGCCTCTAGTAGCATAATAATTGCTTATTGTGAATTTTCAAAACTTTATAAATGCATAAATATCAAGATTTTTAGGCAAACAAATTGGAAGTGTACTATGTCTTATGCCTTGCCTAATAACCAAGCTAATGCAAAGTTGGGTTATCTTATATTTGCAGTGAAGCACCCCCTTCTGAATACGCAATACTTTAAGAGATTTAAGATTTCTTACCTCCTTCTGCCCCAGTGATAGCTTTTATTATTTTATTTGCCTTAATGCTTTCTGATCCATAAAGCAGAAGACAGAGAAAAAACACAAAATTAATATATCATTAGGTCATGTAGTCAACAACAGAAAAAAAAAAAGCTAATTGTGGAACAGTGGGAGATACACTAAATTAGGGGTGTGAAGTGCCACTGGAAAACAAGATGAAGCAACATCGCCAATCCTGCCCTGCCCAGGGTGTGGAACAGGGCAAGATTGGCGAGGTCTGATCAGTCATGGAAGCCTTCCAACGTTAATTTTGGACTTTATAAAATAAGTAAGGGTTTGCCATGTGAATATAAGAAGGAGATCATTCCTACCAAAGGAATAAACAGTGCCAACTGTATTGTCTTTGTTGGCTGGGCTGCCAAAACTGGCTCTCTTCCTGGAGTAGGAAACACCTATGTTCTCCTTTGCTAGCTTTGAAAAAAAAGTCAAAAAGCAGAACAATACTCTCCAGGGCACACACTTTTTAAAATGTTTATTGTTGAAAGTATCGAATATGTCCCCTTTTTCTCCTCATTGACACCCTCCATCTCACCCCTGACCCCCGCCCCAGACCTTTACTACCCTATTATCTGTGTTCATGGGTTATGCACATATACATACAAGGTCTTTGGTTGACCCTCTCCCACTCACCTACCCTTTACCCATCTTCTCTCTGAGATTGCACACTCTGTTCCACGCTTCCATGTCTTTGGATCCATTCAGTTCATCAGTTTATTTTGTTAATTAAATTCCACATATGAGTAAGATCATGCAATACTTGTCTTTCTCTGACTGACTTATTTCACTCTCCAGGTCCCTCCATGCTGTCTCAAAGGGTAAACGATCCTTCTTTTATACTGCTGTATAGTATTCTTGATATAAATGTACCACAGCTTTTTTATCCACTCACCCATTGATGAGCACTTGGGTTGTTTCCCAATCTTAGCTATTGTAAATTGTGCTGCTATGAACGTAGGGATGCATACGTTATTTCTGATAGGTGTCCCTGGTTTCTTAGGATATATTCCTAGAAGTGGGATCACTGGGTCAAATGGCAGTTCCATATTTAATTTTTGAGAAAACTCCATACTGTTTTCCACAGTGGCTACAACAGTCTGCATTCCCACTAGCAGAATACTAGTGTTCCCGTTTCTCATTTGCCAGCACTTCTCATTTGTTGATTTGTTGATGTTAGCCATTCTGGTAAGCATGAGGTAATTCTTCATTGTTGTTTTAATTTGTATCTCTCTGATTATAAATGACTTTTTAATATGTCTCTTGTCTGTCTATATGTCCACTTTGGAGAAGTATCTATTTAGGTTCTTTGCTCATTTTTCAATGGGATTGTTTGTCTTCCTTTTGTTAAGTTGTATGAGTTCCTTATATATTTTGGATAGTAACCTTTATCAGATGTATCATTGCCAAATAATTCTCCCATACAGTGGGACCCTTTTTCTTTTTGCTGATGGTTTCCTTTGCTGTGCAAAGGCCTTTAATTTTGATGTAGTCCCATTTATATTCTCCTTAGTTTCTTTTGCTCTAGGACAATGGTTAGAGAACTCATTAGTCAACAAAGCCAAATATTAACAGTACAACGATTGAATTTTCTTTTGAAAGCCAAATTTTTTAAACTTAAACTTCTTCTAACTCCACTTCTTCAAAATAGGCCATGGTGTTTTGTGGAAGAGCCACACCCAAGTGGCCAAAGAGCTACATGTGGCTCGCGAGCTGCAGTTTGCCAACTACGGCCCAAGGAGATGTAGCTGTAAACATATTGCTAGGGTAGATGTCTAAGATTTTGCTGCCTGTGGTTTTTTCTAGGATTTTTATGGTTTCCCAGTTTACATTTAAGTCTTTTATCCATTTTGAGTTTATTCTTGTGTGTGGTGTAAGTTTCATGTGTTGGCAAGGATCTGTCCAATTTTCCCAACAACATTTATTGAAGAGACTGTCCTGACTCCATTGTATGTGCTTGCCTCCTTTGCCAAATATTAATTGAGCATGATGGCTTAGTTGATTTCTGGGGTCTCTGTTCTATTCCATTGATCTATATGCCTATTCTTGTGTTAGTACCAGGCTATTTTTATTACAATGGCTTTGTAATATAACTTGATATCTGCTATTGTGATTCCTCCAACTTTGTTCTTTTTTCTCAAGATTTCCTCTTCAATTTTTTGGAATAGTTTGAGGATTATAGGTGTTCTTTTTTGAATATTTGGTAAAACTCCCCTGTGAAGCCATCCAGATATGGGTTTTTGTTTGCTGGGAGTTTTTTTTTTTTTTAATTTTATTTTTATTTTTTATTATGGCTTCTATTTTATCAATTGTTATTGGCCTACTCAGGGTTGTTTTTTTTTAATATATTTTATTAATTTTTTACAGAGAGGAAGAGAGTGGGATAGAGAGTTAGAAACATCAATGAGAGAGAATCATTGATCAGCTGCCTCTTGCACACCCCCTACTGGGGATGTGCCCGCAACCAAGGTACATGCCCTTGGCCAGAATTGAACCCAGAACCTTTCAGTCCGCAGTCTGACACTCTATCCACTGAGCCAAACCGGTTTCAGCCTATTCAGGTTTTTTTTAAATTATTCCTGATTAAGTTTCAAAAGATTGTATATTTCTAGGAATTTTTTCATTTCATCCACATGTCCAACTTGTTGGGATATAGTTATTCATAGTGTTTTCTTATAATCCTTTGCATTTCTATGGTATCATTGGCTACTTCTCTGCTTTTGTTTCTGATTTTATTTATTTGGATCCTCTCTCTTTGCTTCTTGATGAGTCTAATGGTTCATCCATCTTGTTTACCCTTTCAAAGAATTAGCTCTTAGTTTCATTTACTTTTTATATATTATTTTAAATCCCTATGTCATTTATTTCTGCTCTAATCTTTACTATTTTATTCCTTCTACTTATTCTGGGCTTTTCTTGTTGTTCTATTTCAAATTCTTTAAGTTGTAAGGTTAAATAAATTTATTGTTAATTTTTCTTGTTTGTGTGTGTGTGTGTGTGTGTGTGTGTGTGTTTAAGGTAAGCCTGAAGTGCTATGAGCTCCCCTCTCAGAACTGCTTTTGCTGTGTCCCAGAGATTTTGAGTTGGCCAAGGGCACACACTTTTCTAGGTCAAGTCTCATTTTCCAATACCGGCAACAAAGTCAATATCTTTTCTTATAATCCTTGGCCTTAAACTCTTTCATCTCCCCAGGTCAGGGGTACATGGAGAAAAGCAACTCAAAAGCTTATTCTATTACAGAGTTCTAGACAGTACCCTCCCTCACTCTTGTCATAATCTCCTCATGAGGGGATTTTTATTGAGCCAATAGCATCAGGATCCCTGTTCCACAGCTGCTTTTTCAATAAGAAGCTTTATCCCACTTTACCCCAAGAATGCCTTCACCTGCCAGCAGGACAAACTCCTCTTTTCCTGCTATAATCTGCCTGCATCCT